CTTGTCTTTTTTATGTCAGAAAGAATTACCTGGCAGATTGAGCCTTCTGTGTGTTTGGAACATTCTGCAATGTCCTTTTTCCACGTTGCAGCTGGTCTAGAGGAAAGATGGTGAGAAAGCAGGGGGCTCAGAAACAGCCCTGTCCCCACGCCAGTGAGGTCCAGGGGGCACCCGTGCCCTGTGACCCACCACGGAGACCCTGAGCCTGCTCCAGAGAGCCTGGTGCAGATGCACAGCGAGGCGTGGTTCCTGAGCGGAGTTCCAGGCCCGCTGCTGCCCATCAGGGTGGTGCGTTGCTGAGAACAAACGCTGCACTGGACTCTTCCTCACGCTGCCCTCAGGGCTGTGGTCAGCTTCTGGGAAGGCAGCCTTTGGTCTGATCCGTGGTGACGTTTGTGAGCTCTTGTGACGCCTGTACCCAAAGGTCACGCTAAGCCCAAAGAACAGGTGAGCCGCCAGCTAGACACATTCTGAGTCAGGACTCTGTTCTTCAGGCCCCTGAGCCCGGCCCTCCAGACTCAGGGTGGGTGGAGCTGGGGAGAAGGGGATGGAGTGGCCCGGCCCATCAACGTGGTCGCAGATAGACCTGGTGGGGCAGCTTCATGCCCAGGTCAATTTCCAAATGAGCAACCAGGAAAGTTCCCTTGCCTCCTCCTCACACCTCGAGTTCTGCGGCATTATTAGGGGCTTCCTGGGGACTCAGCAGAAGTTCCCAAAGCAGGGAGGGTTTAGGTTAAAACTCAAGGCCCATCACCCTTACCTCCCTCTTCCCCTCCTCCCTTCCTAGGTCCTCCCTTCTGCTCCGCCCTCTCCCAGGCCCCCTGCAGAGCCCCCGGGGCGAGTTCCTGGACAGCACGGGCAGCCCCTTCCTTCTTGCTCCCGCGGACGAGCCGCGGCGGGTAGGAGCAGCCGAGCGTGGCCGCCCTCGCGCTCGCGCTGATGGGAAAGAGGACGGGGACTTTCGGGCCTCTGGCTTTCCTGTCCGTCAGACTCATCGCTATCACCCAGGGCGCGGGCCTGATTCAGCGCTGGAAAACCCGCTGCAGGGCGCGGGCGCGGCGGGCGGCCTGCGGACAGGAAGCGGGCGCGGGGGTGTGAAGGAAGGGCTTCCTCCCCGACACTTTCTACGCTGAAGGGGCCCTGCTCCGCCCGCGCTCCCCCGGGGCACCATGCCCTGGCCCACAGACGCCGGCGCAGCGGGCCTGGAGCTGCCCGACAGCTTCCCGCGCCCGGAGTGCCCGCTCTCCAGGGCAGGCGCGGGAGCCCCGGCCCAAGCCAGGGGAAGGATATTCTCAGCAGCGCGGCAGGGGGCCTGGGGCTACCTTGGAGGTGTTTGGCCCCACACCATGATGGCGACCCCGGGGTCCCAGCTCCAAGGTGGAATTAGCCCTGACCCTCCCAAATCCAGGCTCCTCCGCAGTAACAGCCCTCAGCGCGGGGCCGTGTTGGGGCGCTGCCCAGTGTTCCAGGGGCGGCCTCGTGTTGGGGCGGGGCCGTGTTAGAGGCTGAGCCCGTGTACGGGGCGCGGCCGGGTGTACAGGGAGGTCCCGGTATTCGGGGCACGTTGTCTGGAGAGCAGAGGAAGCGAGGGCCGTGTGGGGGCCACTTGCTGGGTCCGGGTACGTTGGGACACTTGACTGCCAGCACCTGGCTGCTGAGTTGCGGCCACGACAGAGTCGGACTGATGCACAGGTTCCGAGGCTGCCTCTGGCCAGGAGCCTTCCCGGCTGCAAGCCTCAGGGCAGGTGGCAACAGACGTGGGAAGGGAGACAGTGGGCTCCTCTGCACCCGGTGGTGATGATGGCCACTTGGGCAGGGACCACCTGCGGGGAGGGGCGGTGTCTCAGACACCTGAGAGGTAGGAGGACAAACAGGTGTGTCCTAGGGGGAAAGCCCGTGGGGTGTGAAGTCCACGCTTTGGGGAGAGATGGTGCCTGATGGAAAGAGGAACTATGCTGCCAAGCAGCAGGTAGAGAGAGGAAGACAGAGATGCCGCTCTATAGGCTGTTGGGAAATAAAGGGAGATAAAGCCTGAGAGGCTTTGGGTTTCGCAGGCCCAGCCTGAGCACCAGTGAGCATTGCTGGTAGGGGTGCAGCAGCCAGGGCTTCTGGAGGCAAGGTTTGCTTTGGGGAGCTCTTCCACCCCTCCCCCAGCTCCCATTGGACTTCATTTCCCCACCTCTCTTGTAGGCAGGTAAGGCCCACCCCCAGGGCTGCAGGCTGAAAGCAGGTACTATCATCTCTAAACACAGCCCCTCCCGTCACCCAGACAGAGTAGGGGACTCAGAAGGACCCCAGGCCTGAGGAACACAGAGCCACTAACTGGAAGGATATGGTGCCGGGAGCCACAGCAGAAACAGACCCTTGGAGTCAGCAGTGGGCTGGCGGGCAGCACAACAGGGGTCTGGGCAGATGGCAGCCAGGACAGCTGGGGGGCTTGGCAAACTGAGGAGGTCCTGCGGGATCAGATGGAGGCCCAGACGGAGTGTAGGCAGCACAGGCACAGGCTCCTCCCTGTGGCACAGGCATAGGCTCCTCCCTGAGGCACAGGTACAAGCTCCTCTTTGTAGCAGAGACAAGGCCCATGCTGGGCAGGAGTCCCATGGGCTCCGGGACACTGGCTTGGAGTCCATCCTTCACTGACGGGCCGTCCACCGGGAGACCAGACCTGCAGGCCTGGGAGCACTGATGGAAGGGCAGGCCCCTTGTGCAGGGCCCCCCGGCAGAACACAGCTTCTCAGAGCTTGGCCACACCTGTCACCTCTCCAGTGGGCCGGGGCAGGCCTGAGTTGACCAGGGTCTCAGCCAGTGTACTCCCTGAGCAAGTACCTTCCCGTCCTGCACTTGTTATAGGACAGGGAGAGGGGCAGCCCAAAACCCCGCAAACCTGCCTATTTTAAATGAGTTCTGCCATTCGCCACATCAACATAAAACATAGGAGACTTTAATGAAAAGGAACTTTAATAAAACTAGGAAACAATACAGGTAAGGCAAAGAATCTAGTTTTTAAATTAAGCACCCAAAGTTACCCATCCCCTCATGGGTAAAAGTCCATCCAAATGGGATTGGCCCAGAGCAAGGCCCCAAGGCCTGCCACAAGTCTAAAGCATCTTCCAGTGGGGACCCACAGAAAAGGGTCACAAACAACCGGACAAGCCCGGAAGGAAAAGAGCAAAATCAACATCAAGATAAAAGCTGCCATTGTCACCTCCCCATGGGTCTCACCCACATCTGTGTCACCCAGTCTACGACCAAAAGACAAGTGCAGTTTCTTCACGTGTCTCTAGGCCCCATGCGCCTCCTCTAGGTCTCCTTTCTCCATCCTGCTTCCTTCCTCCGTCTCTTCTTCAGCTTCTCCTCTTCCTGCTCAGCTCCACCCTCCCTTGGGTGGGGCAGGGAACCTCCCCCTTTCCTGGGGACCACCCTGTTACACACTGACCCCACATCTGTAACCAAGGGGCCAAGCTGGCGGGTTAGATAGACTCTTGAGCTAAATCACCCCATGGTCCCTTGAAATGGCCACATTCAGGAGACATGAGCAAGGTTCTATGGCAGCATCCATCCCCTGCCTGGCCTGGGCAGTCATGCCAGGCTCAGACCGGGGTGGCAGTCCCAGGCTTGGGCCAGGGTGACTGTCCTTGGCCACATTCAAGTCAGCAACCACGGGCTCCCTGGGCCAGGCCCGGAACAGTAGGTTTGTGGGCAGAAGCCAGTAGGAAGCAGGATGGGGTGGCTCTAGCCGTGACGGATCCCTTTTTTCCCTGGGGAAACAGAATTGTGGGGGCACCTGTGTTGCTTTCTCTAGGCATAGACTCAACCTGGTCCTGCTTCTCCTAAAAGAACAGTCGGGTAGAATTTTTGAAAGGAAATTGCTCACCTCTTCTCTGTCACTCAAACTTTTGTTCAGATAAGGGGACAGATCTCCCCCATTCAGTGTGACTCAGACTAACAGCCAGTCCCTGGGTTCCCAGCCCTGGGCCTACTGCTGGGGTGAGGAGGTGACCTGGGCAGCGACAGGGACAGCCAGGTCAGGAAAACCAGCCCCAGGGGGCAGCCCAGCAGGAGAGAATGCCACGCCCACAGCCCCTGCTGGGAGGCGGGGAAGCCCTGCTGGCCTTGGCTTTGAGGGGCCCTATGTGCCCACCTAGTATAGACATGGCTGTGTGGAGGATAAGTGGGAGGAGGGGGCCAGGGGCCACTGGACACCCCTGAGAGTCAGAGGTGAACTATGAGGGAAGAGGTGGCTGTCAGGTGCCTCTAATGTTGAAGAATTCAGCCAGGGGGGAGATAATAACCATCTTTATTATTCAAATTCTAGAGGAAATGGTTCTGCATAGTAGCAGAACCTGCTAGCTGCCAAAGTGGGTCCCTGTTTGACTCCTGAGCCGGGTCCCCAATCTGATGCCGTGGGGAAGTGAGGCTGTGCCCATCTGCTGGGGACAAGGTGGGGTACCATGGGGGGGCCCTGCACGAGGACTGGAGGGCGCCTCCTCCAGGTGAGCGCCCGAGGCTTTCTGAGGGCACAGAGGCCACTCTGGGCCTCATCTGGGCAGGCAGCCAGCCACGGGGTCTGGCCGTGGCGGGGGTGCGAAGTTCAGGGGGCACAGCAGCAGCGGGCACATCTTCTCGTGCTCCTTCAGCGCCTCGCTCAGGTGCTTCAGCTCATCCCGCAGCTTCCCGATCTCCCTGCGCAGCCCGGCGTTCTCCTGCTCTAGGCACTCGTACTCCTGGGAAGGAGAGGGGCCAATCAGCGCTGCACCTGTCCCCAGCCCATACCCTGCCCCCTCCTCTACTCCTGTTTGTTTACTTGCTTCACGTCTCTTCCAGCAGGGGATGGTGGCGGGCAGGGCCTTGTGCCCCAGGTGGCCTCGCCCAGGCACCACTCAGAAGGAATACAGTCTTGCCTTGCTCTGAGAAGAGCGTCCCGAGAAGCGCGTCACTGGGCCATTTGGAGCTTGTGTCAAGGCTGCAGCGTGATCACACAGAGCTGGACAGTGCTGCCTATTGGGGCACCGTCCCCTGTGTGGCCCACATTTTACACAGCATAATCAAGTGACGTGTGCCTGTGAAGCACTATCTTGAGTGTACAATTCGATGAGTCTTAGAAATGGAAACAACTACGTTGATCGAGACCCAGCATATTTCTGTGCCTGGAAGGTCCCTTCCAGCCTCTCAGTAGCAGCCTCCTCACCCCCACTTGCCGATCTGCTTTCTGCTTTCTGAAGGTCTCTGTAGGGCTCCCAGGTAAGACCCAGCACCCGGAACAGTGCTGGAACAGAACCGGTGTTTGTTGATGGCACCAGTGAAGCAGTGGAGACATCCCCGCCGTGGCTTCAATCCAACACTCCACTGTCAAGTTTCCATTAAACCCAGGTTGAAAGAGGCTAAGAACCAGGGGTGCAGGAACCCCTCCACTTCGCGGTTCTAGATGATATGGAATCTTCCCGAAGCTATTGTAGCCGGACAGCCACTCCTCATCTCTTCTGAGCTGCTCTGTGAATTAGTTCCTCTTTGCACTGATCCAAAATCTCTCTCTCTCCTTCAAACTCCCCTACGGGCTTGGTTCCACCTTATGGAACCACACCGAGTAAATTCAATACTCTTTCAACAGCACAGTTCTTAAAATGTGAGGAGATGGCCCCACACCACTTCCCCTTAGGTGTTCTCTGGGCTCAGCTGAGCTCCTAGAGCTTCTCGTTCCCTCCTGCAGGCCTCCCCGACACACATTCTACACGGCCAGGATCTCTGAGAAAATTCATTCCCGAAGGCAGGGCCAATCCTGAGGTCCTGCTTGGCAGAGGCCACCCCTTCCCACGCTGCTTCTCTGTTGAGCTCGGCTGAACTCAGGGCCACAGCGGCAGGGCCGAGCTTAAAGGTGGGTTTCATATCCCTCCCCTGAGGCTCTTGAATCTCCACTGTGTGGGCTCAGGGGTTCAAGACCCCACCACAAGAAGCAGTGTGAACTTGGTGGGCCAGATGTCTTGTCCTCATCTGCTCTGTCCCCTCCATGGCAGGTCCCACGGCCCAGCAACAGACACCCTCTCGCAGCCGACATCCCGATGAAGAGCCTGCTGTCTGCAGCCATTTCTTGGTGATTCACCCAGTCAGGCTTTGCGTGCAGCTCACACTTCCTGTGCTGGGAACCCGACCTATGACCCCTCACCTCTTCTCTCTTAATTAACAAGTTGATTTTTTAAGAACTATCATTTTTAAAATGTCTGATCTTACAGCCCCTGGGGGCACATGCAAATCCTCAACCTGCCCCTTGGCTAATGCTGTTCTCTGGGCGGCATTCCTCCTTTGCCGATATAGGCCCAGCTCAAGCCCACCACCTCCAGGAAGCCTTCCCTGACCACAGTCCCTATGGGAGGACCTCTCTCGTTATGTGTTCTGTTCAGCCTGGCGGCATGTGCTGCAGTGCCTACCTCAAACAAGGTCCCTCCCCAAAAAGCAGACATACAGAACTAGGGGTCTCTGCACAACACACATCTCCCCTGCACCCTGCCTGCCGGGCCAGTCCTCCTGGCTCTTCTACCACTGCCTACTTCTTCTCGCCCCCCTCTCTGAGCACCTTCCTCCTCAGAACAAAGGGTCTAGGTGGGCGGCTGCCCAGGCCCCCGGGCCACTGCTCTCTGCCTCACCCTCAGGCTCAGTGGCCCAGGTCCCCTCACACCTCAACCTCCCAACCCCCCAGCCCTGCCTCCCCGGCTCCGCCCCCAGCCTGCCCTGCCCACTGCTCTCTGGCTCCCAACACTGGTCCTGGGCCAGAACTTCCAACCCAAGAAGCTCTCCATGGGCAAGAAGGGGTATGGGTGGGACATGGTGTGGGGGCCTAGGCATCCTGGGAACCGCCTGCAGCCACAGGGAGGTGGTGGCTGTGTGGAGTGTAGGCATACACAGCACATGTCACACACACACACACCCCAGCCACCCGCAACTGGACATGCTCTTCATGTCCAAGGACTCGGAGACTCTGCAGTTTCCCATGTGCTTTTGTTAACCTGATTCCAAGAACCGCGAGGTATCTCCATGAACAGAATATTCCAAAGTGCCTTCCACAGCCCGCTGGATGGGTTTGGGCAACTCGCCAGAGCGCTTGCTTTACCCAGCCGCCCAGCCTTCCTGAGGCTCCACGGTTCCCCGGGCCAGCTCAGCAAGGCTGTGCAGGCCCCACAGGCCACCGTGGCCCCAGGCACCCGTGGCCCCTGCCGCCCTCACCACAGGGACTTTCTTTCTCTTCTGAGATTTAAGGCTCACGCATGAATCCACAGGGGGCTTATGTCCAGCACAGGGAATAGAGGACAGAAGCAAGATCTTCTGCAGCACGACCAGGACTGTGAAGGCAGAAGAGCAGCGGGTGCTGGGGTGGGGGCTGCCACAGAGGTCAGAGAGCACGGAGGGGACAAGGGAGAGAAGAAGGCCACGTCCTCCTGAGAGAAACCAGCTGGGCCAGACATGTGAGAAGCAAGCAGAGACGCTTGGATGTTCCCAGAGAGATGCCCCGCCGTGCTCACACCTCTGGGTCTCGATCAGCTGACCCAGGAGGTCTTGGGGTCATCAGGCTGCCTTCCCTGAGTGGGCACTGGTCAGGGCAGTCACAAAGCAGAGCCCTAACTCCCCGGTGGTGCAGCGGTTGAACGCTGGACTGTGAAGCCTGTGAAGCTGCCCGAAGCCTCTGCAGCGCCGGTTTGATCCCTGGCCACCAGTGAGGGTCCCACATGGCACGCAGACCTCTCCTGCAGCGCCCGCTGCTCCCCTCAGCAGTGTACCTCGGTCCTTCTGCCTGCTCTGCTCCCTGCTCTGGCTCTGGTGAATTCTCTCACCCTCCCGCACTTGTGACTGTACCCAGTGCTTGTATAAATAAATAAATAAATCTTTAAAACAAAACAAAACAAAAAAAAAGCAAAGCCCTAAAACCAGAGGTGGGGAAATCACCGCAACCCCAGTGTGCCCCGCAAACAGGTGCCAAGGTGACTCTGGACTGGGGTGCTCTGCATAGCCCCCAGGAACACGGGAGCACCTGGACAGGGGAGGGGGTTATGCTGCATCTAGTGGGCAGAGACAGGCCCTACAGTGCCCTGGGTCCCCACCACCCAAGTGCCAGCCCTGCCCAGGGGGAGAGACTGCTCTGTGCATCTGAAAGAGGCTGGCTGGGGTTGAGGGGTCGTCTGGGGGTGCTGGGGACACAGAGCATCTCCGAGGGGGAGGAAGGGACCTGGAGCTGGTAAAGACACAAAGGATGCGGGTTCCAGGGACCAGAGAAAGAAATGAGGAGAGAAAAGCCCTCGGAGGAAACGCCCCACAGTGACCCCATTTCAGGAGCGAGAAAGCCAGACTCGGCCAGCCCCGCGCTGCTCCGCGGCCACGCAGGCGGGGGCCCTCCTGACCGCAGCTGGGCGACACGACGCGACGCGACGCTCTGGCAGTGGCCGAAGTTCGGCTTGGGCTGGGCGGGCCAGGTCCCGTTTCCCCACTGGCCCCCATCTATTCCTTCGCCTGATGCCCCAATGCTTCCCAGCAGCGGCTGTGAGTGAGCGTCACAGTTTCTAAACTGGGGAGGGACGAAGCATTTCTCTTAGAATTTTCAATATCTGGCAAAACCGTGGTCTCAGACACCACAATCATATTGCCCAAGAAATGTGTCAGTTTGTGACATTTGGGGTTCCCAAGATGGCACAGCTGCCTTCCTTTTCTGACTCAAAATTCTTTCTCATTCTTACGCTTTGGGGGGCCCAGCCTGAGCCAATCTTGCTTGCTTCTGAGCCCTCTCCCAGGGCGTCCCAGGCTCCCTCTGTGATCATGGACTCGGGGGGCGTGTGTGAGTTCAGAGATGAGTGGGGTCAAAACCCCACGGTCAGCACGTGGAGGGAGGCCTTGAAAGCACAGAGCCACACCTCTCCCCACCACGGTCTTTCTTCCCTGCGGAAGCTCTGCTGCAAGGGAGCCCATCTACCTTTGGCCGCAACCCCTCTCCTCCAGGAAAGTCCCACCTTCACCCACAGCCCAGACTTTGGACTTGGGGAACCTGGTGGCAGGGGCAGTGGCCAGGGTGCTCGAGAGCTGGGGTCAGAGGAGGGTTTCCAGGGCATTGGAGGACAGGTGTGCGTGAGCAAGGTGGCAGGGAGAGGTCTGGGATTTTAAACATGTTCTGCTCTAAATACCCCCCCTGCATGGTATTCCAGAAGGGCCATACCCTCTGAGATACATGACCAGTCTCACCCCTAGCTGGGGGAGTGAGCGAGGCCTTCATGGCGCTGTCCATGTGCCGAGGGCTCCTGTGAGTGCCCTAATTCCAGACCAGGAGAAGGTTCTGAACACCATGTCCAGTTCCAAATGTGGCCTGATGGGCCAGGGGCCCAAGGGGCTTTCTTCTGGGGCCCCTAGCTGGGTGCCAGGTGCTCTCACTCGCCCGAGCACTCTCCACCCCACTTCCCAGCGGACATCCTGGCCTCATGGGCACATTTCTTTTTGTTGACCACGCAGAGCCTGGGCTGGAGGGAGGCGTGGACCAGTAAGGGCTGGCGGTTGCTGCCTCTCATCTATGCAAGTCTGGGTGCCTAAGCCCCTCCCTGACATCTCCCCAGATGCTGCATGGAGCTAGCGACAGCTTTGGGGTCTGCACGAGGTGGGCACCACTGCCCTGGCCTCCAGGCCCCTGTGCTTCTCAACCACACCAACCTCGCCTGACACCCTGCCAGTGGGGCCGGCTCTGGGCCACTCCAAGCCCCATACACAGGAGTGGGATGTGTGGCTTCCAGAGGACATCCCATCTCTGGGAAGGCCAGGGAGCCCCCAGACCCTACCCAGTGCTCAGCAGGATTGGAAGGGGTTAAGGAGGTACCCCCACCTCCTGGGATCTAGCGTCAGAGCCAAGTGACAGGAATGGAGGGAAAGCAACTTCTTTTAACACCGTGAAATATTCCAGGGGCATTTCTGCTCCTTGTGCATTGAGCGGAACAAAGGCCCTACCAAGCCCCGCAAGCCTGTGGCTATGTCACCGCACATGGCAAGAGGCCAAGAAGGGACACACAAGAGCTGAACCTTGTGATGGGAGGTTGCCCCGGACTGTGCAGACCGGCTAGGGTCTTCAGATGCCACAAAAGGAGTCAAGGGCTCGGGGGGTGGGGGGTGCTGATGGAGATGGGGCCAGGGAAAGCAGCTGACAAAGACACAACTTGGGGGACAGGCCCAGGCCCGCAGAAGCCTCTAGAAGCTGGGAAGGCCAGCAGACACACTCTCTCGAACCTCCCCAAGGAAGCCAGCCTGTGGACACCTAGATTCTACCCTGTGAGGCCCATTTCAAATGCAACACTAAATGGCAAGAGTAAATCTATGTTCCTTGACGCTGCTGCCGAGGTCATCATGGTTGGGCCCCTGAGATGCCATCCTCGGACACCCTGTGCTTCCAAGAAGAGGGGCGGGGCCTCACGCCACGGGGTCGAGGCCAGTGCCTGCCCACAACAGGGCTCGGGAGGCCTTTGTGCGGTGAAGCTACAGGACCTCGCTCTAGGAAAGGCCTTGTCCAGACAGGCAGTCACCACTACAGGCAAGGCTGCTCCGGACTGACCACCCAGTGTCCTCCGGTGTTTCTGGCACTAACACTCCTGTGTGAGCTAGAAGCTTCTTGAGGGAGGGGCCCTGCTGTGGTCCGAAGGGGCTGCCATGTCCCCTGGGACGCAGGGACCGGGAGCCAGGAGCACAGCTGCCGGACAAGGGAAGGGAGAAAGGAGGCCACGGGCCTCGCGCTTCCTCTGTGGAAATTTTAAAGAACCAAGAAAGGCAGGAAAGACCTCCCTGGCCAAGTCTGAGGACCTTCTTTCCAGGAGAAGGTCTGACATGGTGATCTCGGCCACACCGTGGACCTCCCTGCTCCAGGAGAAGGTCTGACATGGTGATCTCGGCCACACCGTGGACCTGTGGCAGCAAGTCACCTGCCCTGAGAGCTTATGTCGCTCCCCCCCATACCCCACGGGAACTCCTGTGCCAGGGCCTCCCCCCGCCGGGTGCTGTGAGGGCAGCATGTGTGAGGATGGTGCCGGAGAGCCGAACTAGAACCCTCAGTGCCTCTGCCCGGCTGTGCAAAGCCAGGGCTTGGGCTGTCCAGCCCCCTTCCCCTCGAGGGGGCTCCCTTTCCCTGAGATTGTGCAGAAGGGAAACGCTGCTGAACGGGATTTTTGCAAGCGCCCCAGGTTATTTGCACCCTAGCAGCCCTCCGGGACCCCCCAGGAGCCTGAGCAGACGCTGGAGACCTGGGACAGGATGGAGGGCTCATCCCTGAGAGCCATCAGCACTGGAGCTGACATGGGGAGAATAGGCCGGAGATGAAACCCCTGACCGAGGGCGGCCAGCACCCCTAGTCCACAGCGCACCTAAGGAACAGACAGAGAAACTGCAGAAAACTGTGGTGAGGAAAGCCGGGAGGAGCGAGAAAGATGGTATTTGAGAAGAAATGAAAGAGGAGAGGTCTTCAAAAGGGGAGGGCGATGGTGTCAGATGCCCCATCCGGCAGAGACCCCGGGCCAGAGAGAGGGGTGACCCTGCCCGGTGGAGCGCTTCTGTGGGAAGTGTGTGTGCATGTGTGTGCATGTGTGAGAAGGAACATGAGTGTATGGGTGTGCATGTAAGGGTTTGTGAGTGTGAGCAGATGTGTGCATGTGAGTGTATGAGTGTGTGAGTGTGCAAGTGTGTATGAGTGTCTGAGAGAAAAAGACTGAGCATGTGTATGTGAGCATGTGTATGAAAGTGAGGGTTTGTGAGTGAAAGTGTGAGCATTAGTGTGAGTTGTGAGATTGTGGTGTTTGTATTAGTGTGAGTGTGTGTGAGTGCACATGTGTGACTGAGAGTGAGTGTGTGCAGGTGTGCGTGGCGTGCCTGTGGGGGCCAGGTGGGAACAGCATGGAGGACAGGGGGCTGGGCCCTTAGCGCAGAGAGAGGGCAGCAGCCTGCGAGGGAACCAGCCTCGGAGGTTGGTTTGTTTTATACACTTGCTTGTGAGCAGTGTCCAGCGGTGAGGGAGGCTGGGAGATGCCAGGAGGGAGCTCACCCGGCGGGCAGCCGAGGGGTGAGTGTGGGCGTCCTAGAGACTGCAGGTGACCACAGGGCCACCCGGGCCAGAGGGCAGCAGCCGTGACAGCCATCTCACCTCATGGAGCTTGTCTGCCTTCTGGGTCTGCTTCTTCCGACTTCTCTGTGCAGCGACACGGTTCTTCTCTCTCCGCCGGACCTTCCTGTCATCATCCTCAGGGCTCTGCGGGGCACACGGCCAGGCATGAGGAGGGGCCCTCACCCCAACCCTCTCCTCTGGCATCACCATTGGGGCCCTGCTTCACAGCAGCCACTGCAGTGTGGGTGGCACCTCTGGAGGCACAGAGGCCCCCCCAGCACCCCCTGAACTGGGCCACGCCCAGCCTTCCTCCCCAAGACCACCCACAGGCTATGCCGCGTCTGCCTGTTAAAGGATGAGGAAGAAGAAACTCCAAGAGGTTCAGAAACTGCCCCCAGGTACCAGCTCCTCAGTGGGGAGTGGGAAGTGGAACTCAGGTCTCGGGGCCCCCAACGGATGGGGGGACCTTCACCCACCTCCACCCACCTCCACCCACAGGGCGTGTGCCTAGAAGAGCTGCCATGTCAACCCCCTTCAGAGAGAGGGAGCAGCAGAGGCATCACCCTGGAACCTTCTCGGTCCGGCTCCCACCTCTGCACGCAGGCGCCTCTGATACTAAGTGCGAATCACACACACGTTGCATCAGGCCACCACCCCCGCCACACCCCCCGCGGCCCCAGGGCCACTCCAGTAGGCGCATCTGAACAACGCTTGACTGCCAGTTTCCTTCAACAGGTCAGAGCGAATCAGAAAGCAAATGTGTGGTGTCTCTTGAAAGTTCTCGGCTGCGTGTGGGATTGACCAAACCTGAGAGAGGCAGGCGGGAAAATGACCACCCCTGCAAAACCACTTTGCTCGGTGACCGAAAACACAGGGAAGTGGGCAGCGTTCGCTTCCTGGGCCCGGTGAGAAGATTCTGAGGGGCAGCATCGTGGGGCGGGGGCCCTAGTTCATGGGGTCCAAGCCCAGGAATGCCACTCAATTGTCTGTCACTATTCGGGAAAAGCAAGTGTGGATAACGTGGTCTTGCATTCCAAATAAGAGACACACCTCGAGGGAGACCAGGTGAGGCATTTTCAGCCCATGCAGCTAGCAATAGAGAAGAATAAATAGTCTATATAAAAATAACATAAAAACAGGAGCGGCCTGGAGAGGGGTTAATGGAACAGGCATGCAGAGACCAGTGTAGTCTTCCAGAGGCAGGGAAGTCGTGGTCCACAGAACCAGAACACGTCGTGGGGGCTGGGCGGAGGGTGGACTGCAGCTGGAGGGTCACCCAGGCCGGTGCTCCCTCTTACAGTCAGTACGGCCTTGGGGAAATGACTTCAATTCTCTGAGTTTTCAGTTTTCTTATTTCACGTTAGGTGTGACTTGGTCATTATGCCCATGATTCTTACCTGTGTGCCCACGTGCCAGGCACTGGGGAGAGACACAGGCCCTGGACACAGGGTCACAGATCTTTAACCATTGCTGGGACGGGTGTAGATAAAACGGGATTAGATCCCGGAGCTGCCAGGGTGCCCTCAGTAGCCCCTGTTACAGTTGCTCTTTGGGGCTTGCCCGAAAATCATACCACTTTGTTCCCCAACAGCAAGGGCACAGGGGCAGCCTGCCCCCGCCCCTCTACCCTGGACTCATCATCTCTCACAGGGCACACCCCACCAGCCAGCAGAAACATGTGATCAAGACAAAAAAGGGGGGCAAAGAGTAGGGATCCTCAAATAATACTGACCACATCTCATCTAGTGCACATACATCACCAGGCGGATTTACTAGACTCATTTCACAGGTGGGGAAACTGAGGTTTGTTGACCTCAAGCAAAGACTGAGCCTGTGTGTGGCAAAGCCCAAGTCCCAGCTGGGATGAGTGTGTTCTCGGGGGTAACACTACCTGCCAGGGGGCACCCCACGAAAAAACTCGCCAGAAAGCAGCTGAGTGGGTGCCCCCAGGGCACCGCACCTTCCTGACTAAGTTGTAAATGTGACCGGGATGGCACCGGTGGACTGGAGAGACCTGGGGTTTCCAGCGGCACTGGTGTGGAGTCCACCCTCTGTGGGGGGAGCCCCTCGCACCTCTACGCTGACCAGGCCGAGTTCCCCATTTGGCAGCAGCAGGAGGAGGTAGAGCTATCCCCTCTCCACGCCCTGGGCTCCACTAGGAGGCCAAGGAAGGGCCGCAAGCACAGGGACGGCGGGCCACCCAAGCGGGGGGAGGGGGGGGCGCCCACGTGCAGGGGAGCAAGGACATGCGGGCCCAGCAAGGGACATGGGCACCTTAGAGTCCCTCCAACCAGGGCACGGCAGCCGGATCCCCATCTCGAATGCCCCGGGCACCACGCGTAAAGGGGGAGGGGAGGTGCAGAGGCGCAGACCGGTCCCCGGAAGGCCCTTGCGCCCCCACACCAGCGCCTCTCCCGCTCCCGCAGCGCCTTCAGCCCTGCGCTCAGCAGTCACCCGACACCCACTCTTCGCGCACCCGGCACCCCCATCCCGCCTCCCCACGCCCCTCCGGGAGCTCGTCTCTACCTGTGGCGGCGGCTGGTTCCCTGGCGCCCCGACGCTCCTCTGCAGTACTCCGCCGGCGGCCGGGAGCCCCTGCGACATGCCGGGCGCGACGCCGGCCGCACGCCCAGCCGCGCCGCGCAGCCGGGAGGGGGAGCGGCCCGGGGCCCTAGCCCTGCAAGCCCGCGCTGCCTAGAGGTGTCCGCCGGGACCCCGCATCCCGCCCGCACCTGCCACGCGCGCCCCGCCCCTCGGCTCCCGCTCTCCGGCGCCCGCTCCCCGCCGGCTGACCCCACCCGGCCGCCGCCGTCTCCCCGACGCACGTCCGCCCCGCCCCGACGCCGCCTCTCCCCGCCCTCCCGCCGCACCTCGGGGTCCCGGATCCCACCCCGGAGGCTTTCCGGGGGGGCCCCGGCGCTTCATAGAAGTCACGTGGCGGCTCCGAAACTCCGGAGGGAAAGCGCAGCCCACCTACGAGAGGCGCCGCCGGGCCGCTGGGGGTCGGGGAGGCGCGGCGCGGCTTTTGGGGTCCTCCGACGCCCTCGGAGAACTGGGGGTGAGAAACACAAGTGGGTGGTTTGGGGTTGGTGGTTTTTTCCCGGTCCCATCGCTACATCTGCCTGCGCATCGGCCCTGCCTCCACAGCTCAGGGGTCACAGTCCCCGGGGACTTTCTCCGCGCGCCCCGCCCCCGTCCCCACTCTCACCCCTGCGCGGCCGCGGCCCGGCCCTCCGCACGGGCCAGGCGGGGAGGGACCTCGCGCTACCCAGGCCCGGGGCGCACCCGGAGACGCGCGGGCGCCCCGGGGTCTTTTTGCCAGGAGAACCTTCTCTACAGTTCCTCGGCCCCCGCCCCCAGGCCGTGGGAGGGAGCGCGGCGGGGCGGCCGGGAGGTGAATTCCCTTGGAAGAGGCCGGGGAAGGGAGGTTGTCAGGACTGAAGTGGTGACTGGGCTGCCCGGAGAGGAAATCTGCCCCGTGGACGTCACCACAGACAGACGCGGGGATCTGGACCCCAGATCCTTTTCCTTTTCCAAGATTAAAGCGCCAGATGCGGTGCCTGTGGGTGAGGACGGCGCCTTCTCCAGCTGAGCTGCGAGCGGACACGGCGCCTTCCTCCACCCGCCTGCCGGTTAAAAGATGCAAAGCCAAGCCGCGCGCTGCAGGGTCGCGGCGGAGAAAACAGCGAGCGGTTTCGAGCCTGTGGTCGGCTGTTACCGGCGAGGGGAAAGAAGAGGCGACCGCGACCTCGGCGGGGCGGGTGGGAACCGGCCGGGGGCGCAGACGTCGGAGCGCGTGCGGGCGCTGGAACCGTCGGGCTCGTGCGCGGCCGCGCGCATCCGGGGGCCCCTGGGACGCCCAGCCTGGGGCCCGCGCCCCTCCGCGGGGATCTCTGGCGCGCGCACAGCTCCCGGAGCCGGCTGGGTCAACCTGGCCGCCGCCCGAGGCCAAGCGCGAGGGTGGGGCTGGGTGTGGTGCTTGGAGGGCTGGAACCGCTGCGCCGGGCGGAGGTCTCCGCCTCGGGTCGGGCAGGGGGTCGCGGAGGGATGAGGGTGGACACAGGCTTTCGAGCCGCGCCCCACGCCATCACCCCATCACCCCATCCCGGCCCCACGGCCGAGCACCGGGCTCTCACTGGCTCGCTCCATTTATCTCCTCAATCTCCCGGTTTCTCTGCTCATCCCCGGGGCTCTTTTGCATCCCGCCTTGCCCACAAGCGTGCCCAGTGAGTCTGCGGTGGATCAGCTGAAAGCCCCTGACTTGCAAACGTAGGACGCTGAGAAGGCGGGAAAACCTGTGGCTCTCGGGCTTTCAGAAGCGCGCGGGTTCCGCAGAGCTGCTGACGTCGAAAGGTCACGGTGAAAACACCCCGGGCATTTGGAGCACCACCTCCCTTCATCCTGGGGGTGCGGACAGCACCACATTCCACATAAGTCACAGGGGCCCCTTGTAGCTGGCTCCTCGGGAGCCTGGGATTGCCCCCCCACACACACACACCCAGCACACAGAACAGACCCCGAACCACCGTCTGCCCTCATTCAAGGGGTTCTTCAAATACGTTGAGAAGGAACAGTTGACTACCTAGCATTAGCGAACAGGTCAATTTGACCTAAATATGCTACATGAAAATGCGTGGCTTAATTTAACATTAAAAATCAAGGAGATAAAGCGGGATAAAGTCCTTTATTAGAGCTCTGGAATAAGACAAGCCCAAGAGGGGTTGTCTTTGGGGTTCCCAAGGGGGTCCCACCATAGACGAGATCACAGGGGAAAGAGCTGAGCTAGATCAGAATGTGAAATAGCGCTGGGTGACAACATCCGCAGAGATTGAGAACAGATGGTGAAAGTAGTCACAGTAAATATGATAAAGGTTTAAAGTCTCAGCTGTACATAGAGTCCATGAAAAGACAAAAGGAAAATAGAGAGCCTCTCACAGGTACTACATCACATGAACTGGCATTTCCCAGCCAAGTACAGAATCAAGAAATAGATATAGGAAAACACCTGTCAAAGCAAGAGACCATGTAAAATGTTACATTAGCAGAATAAAAAGTGGTCATCAATGCTGGTGAGAGTAGGTGAAATTGGTACTTTCTTTCACAAGCATCACTGTAAATTGGGACAAATCTACTGGAAAGCAATTTTATTTTAACTTTCAAGGCAAGACTTCTGACTTAGCTTTTTCACTTCTGGAAAGTCATCCTAGGAATATCATTGAAAAGACAAAAGGAAAAAAATTAGATGCACTAAAAGTTGACACTAATGTTTTTAAGAGCAGAAAAAATTGTCAGCAAAATATATCCAGTTATGGGTAAGTGTGCAAATAAAACATGATGGGCAAGCACTGGAACACCGCCCATCTTTAAAACAAGCATGTGCATGGATTTGCCACATGGGAGACTTATTGGATATAAAGTAAAGTGAGAAAAAAATCAGGGAACATGAGCTACCAGCGCAACAAGTTTGTTAACGCATCCGTAATACCTCTGTACTATGCCCTGCAGAAGTGGTTAAGTTGGCCAATTCTGTGCCACAATTAAAAAAAAGGAGAAGAAGAAGCATGTGCAAATGAGAAAGGACGAGGATAGAATACACTAAGGTGCTGTTTTTTCTGTCCAGGTGGAGAGACTCCAATAGTGACCTTCACTTGTCTGTTTAAACTTTTTTTTTAATGCTTTATTGGGGCCTCCCTGGTGGCTCAGGCGTTAAGACGCAACAGATGAAGCTATCCACAGCCTCTGGGACACGAGCTCGATCCCAGGCCCGATCCCGGGCCAGGGAGCCACCCACATGGTGCAGTAGATCTCTCCTGCTCCCCGCTGCTCCCCTCAGCAGTGGATCTCAGTGGATCCGCCTGTTCTGTTCCCTACTCTGTCTCTGGGGAATCCTCTCACCCCCACACCTCTGGCCTGTACCCCAGTTCTTGTATGCATAAATAATCTATAAAATAAAATAAAATGCTTATTGACACCTTAAAGCATTTTGTTCTTAGATGTGACCCTGCCTGCCGCTGCGCCCTTTTGTCACTCCAAAATGCCAATGCTTCTCTGCCCAAGGGGCAGCCCTAATAACAGCCTGTTTTCTTGACTTCCAGTTATTATTTCTGATTCATTGTTTTCTCTGGAAGTCAGAGGAGAAAGAAAAATTAAAATGAAGAATAAGTAAACAAGCACAAGCATTTCAAATGTCCCTATTTCCCTTCTCCTTTTTCTTTCTCTTTGCATGTTTTCCTTTGAACTGGAGAGAGAAATGATAGAATATGTTTGGTAATTTCCTTGAACTGCCACAGTGACCCTGGACCTCGTCTTTGGGAATGGGGAGGAGGGCAGGAGTGTCACAGTTCAGCGAGTGAATCCTTTGATGATTCATTTCACAAGAAAACAATTGCCTAAATGCTAGAAAACCCTGTTCCTTTCCACCTTTGCTCTTCTCTTTTAGGGAAACTGACCTTCCAGTCACTGTCTAGCCTTGCTCTTTCACAGAAGGTGGCCCTGGGGCTGGGGGGCTGGGGGACTGCAGAGAGGGGGGCTTGAGGCAGAGTCTGGAGAGTTCACCAGAGAGGAAGCAGGTTTCCCTGAAGAAAGCCAGAGAGGGGCCAATGACATCCCGTCCAGTCTGGGCTGCCGGCACAACCCCTGGGAGGGTGCTGGACCCTGCCAGAAACTGTGGGCAGCTAGAGTTTAGTAAAGAAGGGCTGCAAACCAAGAGGTAAAGTCAAAGGGGCCAGGGGCCAGGTCATGGGTCGAGCAGTGCCATGGAGACTGTGGGTTCCTACCCAAGTGCGGGAGGACCGGTGGGCTCTGAGCAGAGGTGTGGGGGCGTGGGACATGGGTATCTGCAGGGTTGCAACAGAGGAGGGCAGGATGCCAGCTGGGAGGTGTTGCCAGGTGTTGTCTGGCACCCCTGAGCCAAGCCCAGGGCCCCGCACTGGCACCTGCCCCTTTCCAGGCTCAGGAAATGTAGACAGGGGTGGCAAGTTGCAATGAAATTCACAAAAGTAGGATACTTTAACTCTAGAGGGTTAAGATTGTGGTCTCTTTCCCCCACAACTTGCCCTCAGTCCCTTGGTGTCTGGGGCTATTGGCCCAGCTCTAGGCCCCGGGACCTGGCGGAGGCACATGTAGACATTGGGGTACACATGTGGTTTGCGTCATCTCTGGCTCCAGTCATGCTGTGGCTGCTGACTGGCTCCCAGGAGCATCCTGTGCCTGTTGGGCTGACCAGCCTGACAAGGGTCGTGTCATCTAGACCTGAGTTTCCCCACCTGCCTCCCATTCTGTCGGTGCTGCCTCAAAACACTGACCTCTCCTGCCGGGACAGAACCCATCACTCGGCTCCTACAGCTACTAAGGGACCTCAAAGGATTTTGTTTTTAGTGGGAGCAGCAAATCCCATAAAGCCTGAATGTGCCATTTTAACCCTATTTGGAAATATGTTCTGGAACATTTTCTAGAAAGGAAAGTACAGACTGCTGTTGGTTTGTACAGAAAGGTCACCATCCTCTGATCTCCAAGTTCGTTTCAGTGTTAAAGAATAAGAGGAAAAGCACATTAAAAAAATAATAATAAAACAAAACTAATGACATGTAGAAAAGGAGATAAAG